ATCTCGGCTGATTGTAGGCTCTCTAGAAGATAGAGGGTTAAAGTCTGTTATGGGCAAAGGTCAAAGAAGAGCCCTAGAGATACAGGAGCCCTAGTGATAAATGCAAATAGAATTAAAATGTATGTAGAAAGGAATAAGATGATGTCAAAAAGAGTCTCTTTCAAAAGTCTGACTAGGGGCAGCCCTGGACCCAGAAAGACAAGATAATACTTTATTTTTTTCTCCCCTACAACCAACGGATACTCAGTCCTAACACCCAAAGTTTAGGAATATTAATATTTATGAGTTAATCACAGTATGAGGTAAATAGGTCTTGGGAAACTCCATCCACATAACATACGTTGTTCTTGTGGGAAAATTCAGTTTAAGTTCCAAGTACCCAATTTATAGACTCTTGGAATATGACTGTTAGTAGCTGGCCTGAGTAGAATGGTTCAGTTGACTTCATGATTAGAATAACCAATGTTTCCACAGTATCTTGCAAAATTGCAGAATTGTAGAACAACTGCCTAAGTGAACTGTGCCAAAGATCAACTCTAAGTGGCAGGTTCATGTCTCGAGCCTGTGGCTCGCCCAGCTCCACTCTGGCCACCATCAGGAGCACTGGTAGAGCTGCTAAAAGAATATTCTGATGCTGCCATCTGTATTATATAAATGACTATTTTCCTCCTTGCATTTTGGGCATGATAATGTAAAAAAATTTAGGCTAACTCTTAGGGTATATTCTGAGGATGTCAAGATGAGAGCTCTTATTCTGGATCCTGAATTCTCCACATGGACCATAATGTAGGAACTGTGGTGGGTACTAGGTTAGTTAGCCTGACAACTTTATACATGTGACCAGGCTGCCTTCAGTCTTTAGGTCACTGGGAAAACCTAGCAAAAAAGGAAAAAAGAAAGAACAAAGAAATCCCAAATCTGAAAACAGTCTCTTAATGGCGGGACCTTTTTCAATAGTCAGAGTGTTTTTGTCTTGGCACTGCAACTGAAACAGCCAAAGAAAAAAACCAATATACTGATCAACTGAAATTATTTTATAGGTCCCAAATTATACATGGTTCATGGAAAAAAATATATGTTAGGAATAGAAAGAAGTATTGTTAGCAAAATCAGAAAAAAGATAAGTATGTCACAGATGAGTATCAGAAAATTAATCAGCTCACCAGCACATCACTCGTGAGAGCATGTATGTACAATGGCTACCCCTTCCCCTCTCGAGCATGCCTATCCAGGGGCCTTACAATGTCTGAGCCAGCTATTCTACCACAGAAAAAGTTTCTCTACAGGAACTGCAGAATATGTAGGTACTCCAAATATATTCGAGTTGATTACAAAATTACAGTATCAATGCCGTTTTCAGAGTTAACAAACCTATTCAAAATCTATAGCTTCCATTTTTTTTCTTTACTGAAAAATGCAACTTAGAAGACAAATGAGTATCTTCAAAAAACACAAAATTCAGACTGTACATAGAGAAGTAATGAGTCAGAGACTATTTCTATAGTTTAAATGACATAACATGTGTAGGTTTCAGAAACTATAAAACTAACAACTCCCTCTTCAGTACCTTTGGTATTCTAAACCTACTTGTATAATAGTGTATTATTTGTTTACGTTATTATTCCATATTAGACCATAAATTCCTTAAAAACAGATTTCACATCTTATTCATCTCTACTTTTCCACTCTCTAGTGGAGAACCTGACATACAGTCCATGTTCAACAAATGTTTCTTAAACTGGAAAAATGAACTCAGTTAAATACATAAACCTCCATTCCTGATCCTAAAATCCACATGTGAGTGTACGTATAGACATACATGCATATATGATAGATGTTATTTTAATTTTTTCTTCATAAAGAGGGGACTTGATTTACTTAAGAACTAGAAAGTTCACACTGTAATATAAGGTCACCTATTTTTCCAGGGAAGAGTAACATCAGCTTAATCTTAATCACAAAGTAATGCTCAAAGCTAAATATGGTCAGTATGTTAAGAAACTAGGGTCTTAATTCCCAAGCTGAAATAGTCTTGTAGAAAGCAGAAAAATGTCTAAAATGATTCTGAGATCTCCATAATTTTTACAGAGATTTTTAAAAAGTCACAATTAGCCACACCCAACACGATTTATTGTTTACTATGGACCAATGGTTGTGCTAAGTACTTTGCTACAATATCTCGTTAACCCCAATAATGATATGAGGTAGGTATTATCACCTCACTTAAGAAATATTTTTTTAATTAGGAAAAAAACTTGGGTCTTAGAGATGATCTGGACCAATGTTCTCATTTTACATTAAAAAAAATAAAACAAGAGGAACATAAGGGAAAAAAAAATTTGTGTAATGCCGGCAGATATCTGGTATGAAAGAATAAAAAGACATAGAGGAAAACATACAAAAAAAGGAGAAGTCTTAGAAAAAGGTCTAACTTATCTAAAAAACGGTCAGAATTCAATTATTCCACTATCTTGAAGAGACACCCACATTCCTATGTTCACTGCAGCATTATTCATAATAGCCCAAACATGGAAATAACCTAAGTGGCCCTCAATGGATGAATGAAGAAAATAAACACATGTGCACGCACACACACACACACAGGAATGTTATTAAGCCATAAAAAAGGAAATCCTACCATTTGTAACAACATGAACAGATCTTGAGGGCATTATGGTAAGTGAAATAAGTCAGAGAAAAATACTGTATGATCTCACTTATATGTGGAATCTTAAAAACATCGAACTTAGAGAAATAGAGAGGATAGTGGTTGCCAGGGGCCAAGGATAGGGGAAGATGACAGTCAGAGTACAAACTTTCAGTTATAAGATGAGTAAGTTCTGGGGATCTAAGGTACAGCATGGTGACTCTAGTTAATAATACTGCATTGCATACTCCAAAGCTGCTAGGAGAGTAAAATTTTAATGTTCTCACCATAGCAACAACAACAAAATGGTAATTACATGAGGTGAAGGATATGGTAACTAACCTTATTGTGGTAAACATTTTGCAAATCTATACATGTATCAAATCATTACACGGTACCCTTTAAACTTACATATGTTCTATGTAAAAACATATACTGGTTTAAACTTGGATCTAAGTGAGTACCTTTTCTGAAATGCAGAAACCATGTATTTACCTGCCTCACTGAATACTGGCACACAGAGGCCCCGAAGGCAATCTCACAAACAGTTAACCAGAGTGTAACTCACTCATCATCTTCCTAATACACTTCCTTTTTGGTTCAGTGTCTCTCAGTTATCCACAATATTAAACTTAGAAGAAAACAAAACTCAAGAAATTAACTGCCTAGCCTTATTATTACTGCTATTTTTTACTTTTCCCAGCTACACGTACTAATAAACAGCAAGAGTGGTCAACCTGAACTGCACTTATCCTTTCTACTGATATAACACAGAATACAGGTTTTGGAATCAAGACAGACCTGTCTTGCCATTTACCACTGGGGTAGCCTAAAACAAATTACTATTCTTTAAATATTTCCAATGACCTTCAAAATCCTATGAGAAGCAAGGTATTTTCTTGTTTGTTTAACTGTGAAACATCCATAGTATATGTTATGAGGAAGTGACTAAAGGTGTTTCTGCCACTAGGATGATGCCTCAGTGAAATCAAGGTTCCCTCGTCTGACATTCTATGATCTATCAGGACTTCGCACTTGAAGCAAAGAGATGCCTGTGGTACTGCCTTCAAGACATCCTTAATGGAGACAGGAAGTGCACAAGGCTTGTCAATCATGAAAGGGTGAAAAGCAAGCAGAGAAACGCTGAGATCCACCCACAGAAAGAAAAGCAGAAGACAAAGTCCAAAGAAACTTCTATTTAACATCTCAGCAGAGAGTTAGGCATAATGATGAGTGAAAGAAGCCAGACACAAGAATACACATGCACCATTCCATTTCTGTTAAATACAGTAACATGGAAAAATTAAATTATGGCGGTGGAAATCAGAACAGTGGTTACTTCCAGATGGAGAGGGAAGGGGGCCCGAGGGAGCCTTCTGGGATGCTAAAAATGTTCTGTATCTTCAGCTAGGTAGTAGTTTCATGAGTGCATGCATATGTAAAAATTCAATGGGCTGAGCACTTAAAATCTGGCCATTTAAATGTAATAATACCTCCAAATAAAACAAATAAAGGGGAATGACAGTCAAATGAGGACAAGGACCACAAAAATCCTATAAGATTCTGTAACCTTTACCTTTTTAAGTTTTCAAAGTCTGGTCGCCTACGGTGGATTTCTCTATGGTGAGAAGCAGTAAATGTGTGTGCGTTCAGTGTTTCTTTGGAAGTAGCTAGGGAGGTGGAAGCTGGGCTATCTTTGCTGCCTTCTGTGTCTGGGTCTGAGGGGGCCAGCAACTGAAAGGAGAGAGTAAGTGGTGGCCAGGTGCCTGACACAGCGACAGGAGAGTCAGGGGAGACAGCTGAGGCCTGAGAAGTAACAAAAATACCAGAGGTGCCGCCCTCTCGTTGGAGTTAGTTAACAATTCTTTTACATACCCCAACAACCCTTGATATCTGGTAGGTACTTATCAAACTTTACCTACTTAGTTAAAAATATCCCCATCCTTCCAAAAGAGTATCTAGAAATTACTTCCTCCTAAGCTGACCTGGGATGACAACATCTACCGTCAGGCATGAGCAGTATAACCTCTACCACAAGCATCATCAGCTCGGATGATACGGAGGCAAGCCCTGTGTGTTCTAGGGTGTAACGCTGTGTGCACTCCATGGGATAGCTTTTGTTAGCTGTCAGAACCATGCGCTGCGCTCCTCTGACACATTTATGGAAGATGTTTGTGAGAGTCACAAAGAAGAGGGTACGGGAAGCCAATGAACGAACCTACATTAACCAATCCTTTACGACCCCACCCTTCCACCAAAGGAAAAAAGGGATGCAATGGTCTGAGACGAAGAGAGTATAACGAGCACGGCCCTACAACGAACCCTCTGTCTAAGTGGGTGATTCCCTTCTCACCTTTATCACGCTCATAGAGCAAGTCTTCTGTTGAGCAAGGGCTACCGTCCTGGGACCCGGGGGGACAGAAGGGGGAGACACAAGGTGAGTGGCTGCTGCAGCTACTGCTGCGCTCCTGCACCGAGGGCGTCTGGGTGTCGATGCTGCGCGTGCTGCTGCTCCGGCAGTGGGCAGGCAGCGGGGCCCTCCGGCCATCCGGGATCTCCACCGGCTGCAAGAGAAACAAGCGTCACGCGTGGCAGCACCAGGGCGCACGAGCAAAGGGCCTACAGGGGACGCAGCATGCCGCACGGCCCGGCCTTTCACCTTCCATGACCGTCTCGCCACGGTCGGGCTTCAGACAATAAAGGCACCAGTCTTGTGTCCTGATTTCTGCACGTTGTCTCGACTGAGCGAGAAGTTTCCTTCCAGCCACTAAGGAAGGATAAGCTGTCCTACAAATTCCATAGCTCTCTGTAGGTACCCGAGGCTAGCCCTTCCCATAGCGCTCCCCAAGGGTAGGGGAGTCCCCAGCGCCTACCACCATGTCTGGCCCAGGCAGACATCCATCCAACAAACATGTGCTGCACGAAGTGCTCGAACTTCAAGAAGTCACTCTGACTTGCTAGTAAGAAAAGCCGAATCGCATACCCGCAGGTAGAGATTTTTCTGTCTGTTCATTCTTTATATTTTTTAGAGATCAGAAGAGAACCATGTTTTCCACTTCCTTTACAGATTACCCAAAATTTCTAATAAAGACATTTATTCTATTACTATTCCATAAAGGATGTTAATATAACACAAAACAATTCTACTGTTTTGGTATCCATCTATGTAGGACGACTCATAATTTGGCTTGGTTCTAATGCATTGTTCTGCGCAGCAAAAATAAGAAATAGAAATGAAACTATAATCACAGAAACGTATTTTGGACCCGAAGAGACCATAGAGTTCATTTTTCCAGCGTCCTTACAAATAAAGAACCTACCCAGCTTAGTGCAGCTGATGTCATGCTGATTACATGGCCTCAGGGCTTCTGTCACAGGGGCCCCTCCCTACTCTGCTTAGGCTGTAAAGATAAATCTTACTCCATTTTCCTAATCCGCCTACTAACAAAGTTCAGTGAGTAAAATTCTATATATTAATTACTTAAAATAGTTTGTTCTTATATAGGCAAGATTGCAAGGCTAAGAAAAAGTACCAATATATTCCTATACTCTTAGTTTATTTACAACGTATTTTCACTGTTTTTACTCTGAGCTTTGTCATTTCAGAGTTTTCAGAAACACTGTCAGAGAGAAAAATGGAGTAAGATAAAATTAGGCAAGACTCAAAATGGATAACTTTTTCTATAACAAATAATCAAGTGAAGGCTGAAACCATTAACTACTGAAATACAAACTGCATTTATCTACACAATGCTATTAAATCAAACCTATAGCACTGTCACAACCTGACAATGACTACTCTACTATAAAAAGAATATTCAATTATGTAAATATTAGTTCATTTTGTAAACAAATAAAAAGGTAAAACTTTCCAATTAAGGAAAGATATATTCCCAAAGGAATATTACTTTACTTGGTCAAATGCTAAGAAAATGTTACTTTAAATTTTTTTCTTTCATTTAAATAAAGTTAGATTTTAATTACAACTCTGCACTAAACCTTAGAAAGAACAAAGAATAAATCATTGGTGCAGGTGTTTTTGGACAAAATTGCATAGCAGTATAAGATGTGTGAAGTTCCAGGGTAACCCATGAGCGAAGGGCATTTTCAAAAATGTATTTGAGGCCTTCATGACAGAACTCTTTTTTTTTTTAAGATTTTATTTATTTATTTGAGAGAGAGAATGAGAGAGAGAGAGAGAGAGAGAGAGAGCACATGAAAGGGGGGAGGGTCAGAGGGAGAAGCAGGCTGCGGGACTCGATCCTGGGACTCCAGGATCATGACCTGAGCTGAAGGCAGTCGCTTAACCAACTGAGCCACCCAGGCGCCCGACAGAACTATTTCTTAAAATTTAGATATATAAGTCAAGGAAAATGTTATTTTATAAAAGCGTCAGTATTGGTAATCAGTAAAATCAGAATGATGTACAGATTTGTAGTTAAAATACTTAAGAATTTGAGCTCTCTTTCATTTGTGTCCTTTTTGATAAACATAGTCTTTCTGTATTCCTTTTTCTAAATCTATAACAGTAATACATATATATATATCCATTTCCTTAACCAACTTCTGTTTTGTTGGAAGGTTATAAGAATTATAAGAACGAAACAGATTTTTAAAAACAACTATTTATGCAAAATAACAATGGGAAATATAAAGGCTTAGAACACTGATACACTTAACAGGACAATTTTCTTTTTTTAGCTCCTGGCAGGTTCACTAATGGTGACATTTTGTTTATTAAAACTTTGGGGCACACTTAATTGTCAATCTAAAAAATTCTAAAAATCAATATTTTAGTTATAAGTGTGAAGGTTACCCTAGAGTAATTCTGAAATGGCTACTATGAAATTAGAATACGACTTATTTAAAAGCAGAACATATATATATAAAATTTTATTTATTAAGTATAATGTACATTAAGTAAAATGTACATTAGTTTCAGGTGTACAACATAGTGAACTGACAACTCTATACATTATGAAATGCTCACCACAAATGTAGCTCCCATCTGTCACCATATAATGCTATTATAATACCACTGAGTATATTCCCTATGCTGTACCTTTCATCTCTCATCTCTGTGACTTATTCGTTCTTTTTTTTCCTAAAGATTTTATTTATTTATTTGTCAGAGAGAGAGCGAGCTCACAAGCAGGGGGAGTGGCAGGCAGAGAGAGAAACAGACTCCCCACTCAGCAGGGAGCCTGACATGGGGCTCATGACCTGAGCCAAAGGCAGATGCTTAACTGACTGAGCCACCCAGAGGTCCCTGACTTACTTGTTCTATAACTAGAAGCATAGACCTCCTAATCCCCTTCACCCATTTTGCCCATCCCCCTCCCCGCTCCCCTCTGGCAACCACCAGTTTGTATTTATGGATCTGTTTCTGTTTGCTTGTTTTGTTTTTTAGATTCCACATATAGGGGAAATCATATGGTATTTGTCTTTCTCTGACTTATTTCACATAGCACAATATTCTCTAAGTCCACTCATGTTGTCACAAATGGGCAAGATCTTATTCCTTTTTATGGCTGAGTAACATTCCAACATGTGTCTATTATATAATTATATATGCTTTTCATATATTTTATTTTATATATTAAGTTTATACATATTTAAATACACACACACACACACACACACACACACACACACACACACCACATCTTTATCCATTCATCTATCAATGGACACTTAGGTTGCTTCTATATCTAGGTTATTGTAAATAATGCTACAATAAGCAAAGGCGTGCATGTATCTTGCTGAATTAGTGTTTTTGTTTTCCTAAAGCTGTATTAGTAAGTTTTCTATCCTAGTACAGTTTTGTTTTGAAGTTCTTAAGGAATCAGCAAATATGTGACAGATTCTTTCCTCCTCAAAAAATTAGATTTTTCACTAAAGTGAATTTTTTGGAAAATTTCATTTCCTTACATTTAATGCTTTTAGACATTACTTAATGTATTAAGAAAACATTTTAATGATCAACAGCTAGGAGACAGCATAATTTCCAAAGAGCTCCTTTATAGTATGATAAATACAAAATAGAATGTTAACATGAAACATCTAGGAAGAGTAAATGGCACAAATTTGGGGGAAGATAATTTTAGCAATATTCATCAAAATTTAAAACACACAAATGCTTTGATCCAGCAATTTCACAAGAGTACATGTTTTCTAAAGCCCTGCTTGTGATGAGAAAAACTGAAAACAATCTAAATGCCCATCGACAGAGGACTTCTCAGTTATGGTACATCATACAATGATTCACTAGGTATTAGAATACACATACATATCAGGAATGATATACAAGATATTTCCCATAATGGTCATATCTGCTAAGCAATACTGAGAATTGAAAGAAAGTCTTACTTTTTAATCTTATAAACATAAAATTGAACTGTTTGGATTTTGAAATTAAATCAGTTTTAAAACCTGCACATTACTTAAAGGAAAGACACATATTTGACATAAATTAAATCATTATTTTGGTTCCCCCCCCAAAAAATCACAGGGGTAATTAAGTCAAAGGCTACTTGATGTTTTCTTTTGTTGAGTATACATTTAAGAGGTGGTCAAATATAGGTTCACATGCAGTAGTGTCCAGATTTCTTTTCTGGCACATAGGTAATTTATAAAGCATTTTTGGCAAATTCAAAATGGTTCAATGACCTCATCATAAGGGAAGGTTAAACTAAAAAACTCTTAGAAAAAACACAAGTATCATTGTGACCTTAGATTAGGCAATGGTTTCTTAAATATGACTTCAAATATACAAATAACAAAAGAAAAACCCAGGGGTTCCTGGGTGGCTCAGCCAGTTAACGGTCTGCCTTCAGCTCATATCATGATTCCAGGGTCCTCGGATGGAGCTCCCTGCTCAGTGGGGAGTCTGCTTCTCCCTCTCCCTCTGCCCCTCCCCCTGCTTGTCCATGCTTGCACTCTCTCTCTCTCAAATAAATAAAATCTTAAAAAAAAAAAGAAAAACAAATCAAACTTTATAAAAACTGAAAAAGTGTTTGTTTCAAAGGACATCATCAAGAAAGTAAAGCGTGAAAGACAACCCACAGAATGGGAGATATTTTCAAATCATACATCTAATAAAAACTTACTAGAAAATAAACTTCATAAAGAATTTCTACAATTCAATAATAAAAGGACAAAAATCCAGTTTTAAAATGGGGCAAGTGATCTGAATAGACATATTTCCAAAGAAGATATACAAATGGCCAATAGCACACAGAAGATGCTTAACACCATTAGCCTTCAGGAAATGCAAAGCTACACCATGAGAAGATACCCACACCCAACAGGATGGCTACAATAAAAAAGAATTACAAGTATGGGTGAAGATGGAGAAATTGGACCTTCATACAAGTAAATGGTGTAGTGCAGACACTCTGGAAAACAGTCTGGCAGTTTCTCAAAAGGTTAAACAAAGAGCTACCAAACCAGCCATTCCACAACTAGGTATACACCCAAGAGAAAGGAAAACATGTTCGCATGAAATCTTGTATATGAATTTCATAGCAGCATTATTCATAATAGCCAAAAAGTAGGAACAAGACCATGTTCATCAATTGATGACTAGCTAAAATAAAATTCACACACTATTTGACCATAAAAAGGAACCAAGTACTGATAAGTGTTACAACATGGGTAAACCTTAAAAACATTATGCTAAATGAAAAAAGTCAGTTACAAAAGGCCACGTATTGCATGATTCCATTTATATGAAATGTCTAGAACGGCAAAGCTGTAGCTAGAGGAAGTACATTAGTAGCTGCCTACAGCTGGGGGCACTGGAAGGAAACGAGGGATGATCACTAAAGGATACAGAGTTTCTTTCTGAGGTGATGAAAATGCTGTAAAATTGACTGTGGTGATGGTTGCACAACTGTGAATATACTTAAAAAAAAAACAACACTGAGTTGTACACTTCACATGGGTAAATTGATGGTATGTGAATTATAGCTAATAAAGCTGTTACCAAAAAAAGGACTTTTAAGACAGTTCTAAATATTAAAGAAAAAAAAAGGATTCAAACACTGCATGTAACCTTACCTTGGACACTTCCTCCTTCCCATTATTTTCTTTAATGAATACCTTTTCTAATTCAGGACTTATTCCTTCTACATTGCAGGGCACACGTGAAACGGATGATTTTGGCACTGATATATTTGACAGCGGCATAGGGACTGATCTTGATCCAGTAGCCTGCAAAACATAAGATAAGGTGGTGTCAAATTATTGGTGGCCAAAAAACTCAAGAAATCGAGAACTAAAGAGCACGGTAAATCTGAAAAAGGAAACTCAAATGAGTGGAGTTATTTCAACATTTCAAATACAATTTATAAATTCAGATTCACATACAGAAATTTAGGTTCTAAAAGAAGGTAAAAACTAGAGTCAAAATAATCCTTTAAGGTGACGTGTAAAGGTATAATGGCATAACATATACACTATTTCATTAGGACAGCAGACAGACTCTTCTGCACTGTTTCTTTTTCCCTTTGCTGTTTTTACTGAAAAAGCATAGTTGAAATCATGTCAGTTAAGTGGATCGTGTGGCTTTACTGGACAGCTGTGTGTGTGCGTTTAAAAGATTTGTTTCCTTCACTGTTACAGTTACCTTCTAGTATTTTTAATTTCCATTTTGAAAACCTTATGGATTATTAAATAATGTGGCAACAATATATCATGTTCAGTTCAATAACACTCACTTAACAACTTTAAGGTTGTTTTCAAAAGTCCTTTGGAGGAGTTCTCAAGAATTAACCACCTCTCATGGCTGTCACAGACAGTACCAAAAAGTGTAAGATAAGCCTTTTTTAATTTTTTTAAAGATTTTATTTATTTATTTGACAGAGAGAAAGAGCGCACAAGCAGGTGGTGTAGCAGACAGAGGGAGAAGCAGGCTCCCCGCCGAGCAGGGCGCGCCTGATGAGGGGCTCAATCCCAGGACCCCAGGATCATGACCCGAGCCGAAGGCAGCCACTTAACCGACTGAGCCACCCAGATGCCCAAGATCAGTCTTTTAAAAAAAAAATCCAGGGCGCCTGGGTGGCTCAGATGGTTAAGCATCTGCCTTCGGCTCAGGTCATGATCCCAGGGTCCTGGGATCGAGTCCTGCATCAGGCTCCCTGCTCAGCGGGGAGCCTGCTTCTCCCTCTGCTTCTCTTTCTCTCTCTCTTTCTCTCTCTCTCTCTCTCTCTCTCTCTGTCTCTCATGAATAAATAAATAAAATCTTAAAAAAAAATCCAGTATAGTTAACATACAGTATTATATTAGTTTCAGGTGTATAATACAGTGATTCAACAATTCTATACATTACTCAGTGCTCATCATGATAAGTGTACTCTTCATCCCCAACACCTACTTCAGGCAACCCCCCCCCCACCACCTCCCCTCTGGTAACCGTCTGTTCTTTAGAGTTAAGAGTAAGATAAGCCTTTTGATGCTCAAGAAACTTCTACCACAGAAAGGAAATAAGGAAAACAAAGATGAACAAGGTAAAAATAAAAATAATACATGTTCTCTATCTTACTCAGAATGATTGAAGTTGATCTGTAGGATTCATAATGAGGTGGACTGCTAATCACTGATTAACACATGAATAATATTTCCTGTACTCAGTGCTGTGCTTCTGCCATCTGTGAACCGCTGCCTGCTAATGTCCTTTGTTATTGATGCATGAGATTTTTTCATATTGAAGTTGTACCTCTTTGTCATACATGTGCTGCTTACTTTAGTATCAGATATCTTTCAGTACTTTTAAGGTTTTTCATTCTTAAATATTTAACCTATCATGATTTATTTTTGTGTATGGTGTGAGGTAGTATGTTTTTTGCCACCCAGGAATCAAACTGCCAACCTTTATGATTCTATATTTGATTTATGGATTTCTATATTTGATTTGATTCTGATTTCATTTCCTTAACAGATAATCCCTATACAGAGCTTCACTTTATTTGCTATTTTATAGTACATGTTGGTATCTTATAGGAAAAACCTTTTCAAATTTTCTATTAATTGGCATTAGTTTTCCATATGACCTTTGAGAACAACTTTTCAAGTAACAAAACAAGTCCTTCTCAATTTCCATTGGAACTCAATCTGTATGTTACTTTCGGGTAAATTGCTATTTGAAAAATATTGAGTCTTCCCTTCCCATACATGAATGTGCTGGGACTTCCCATTTAGGTCTTGGTTTTCTATCTCATATCCTCAATAAAGTCTTATAATTTGCTTATTTATGTCAAATTCTAGGCATTGTGTATTTTTCTTATATGCGTGTTTGAGAACTGTAACATAACAAGTAACGTATATTTGATGTCTGTCCTGCTTCTTGACACACATTTCCCAAAATTCTTGTAATTTCCTGAGTGATAGGTATGCTAGGGGCATCTTTTGGGTTCCAGTATTTGGTTTCTCACCCTGGACCTGGACACAGAGGTCCTAAATCCCTTGGAATTTCCTGGGTGATAGAAGAAAGAGTCTTCTATTCTAATGAGGTGACTCTTGAGGGGCTCCTGGATAGCTTCTAGTCAACAGAAAGATCAAGCCATGATTATAAGCTTGGAACTTCCAGCCGCACACATCCTCTGGAGGGGGCAGAAGGGCTGGAGATGGAGTTAATAATGGATCATGCCAATGTGATAGCCTTCATAAAAATCTCAACTATGGGTTCAGAGAACTTCCAGGTTGGTGAACAGGTACCCACATGCCAAAAGAGTGGCACGCCCCAACTCCATGGAGGCAGAAGCCCCTGCACCTGAGACCTCTCCAGACCTTGCCCTATGTACCTCTTTATCGAACTGTTCGTCTGCATCCTTAATTATATCCCTTATAATAAAAGAGTACACATAAGTGAATCCCTGAGTTCTGTGAGCCACTCTAACAAATTATTGAACCTGAAGTGGTTTTTGGGAATTCCTTCCTTATAGCCAGACGGTCAGAAGTACAGATGACAATCTGGGACTTGTGACTGGCATCTTAAGGGGGGAGGGTGGGCAGTCTTGTAGGACTGAGCCCTTAAACTGTGGGGTCTGTGCCAACTCCGAGTAGTTAGTGTTACACTGAATTGTAAGACACTCAGCTGGTGTCTGGAGAGTTGGCAAATGGTATGGGAAAGCCTCCCACACATGTGGTGTTAGCAGTATTCTAAGTAGAGGGTACAGTGGTTTACCTTCATTCATATAAGAGAAACTACTGATTTTTATGTTTATATTTAATCGTCTAAGTTCTCAGTTTTTTCTTCTTGTTATGAAAAATTATAATCATAAGCATAATTAAATACTATACCGTAATGAACTCTCATGTGCACATCATCCAGCTTCAAAAATTACCAACATCTGCCGATCTTGTTTCATCAAGTATCCACTTTTCTTCTGTTCTTAGGTAATTTTAAAGCACATTCTAGACTTCATACTTCGCCTACAAATATTTCAGTATGTATGGCAGATAATTGTTTTTATACCTAAGCACAATGTCAAAAATTCAATGTAAATTAGGAACACCTGCCTAAGTCTTTTTTGTTAAATCAGCAAGTCAATAGATCTTCTATAAATGCATTAGGCTCTTTACAGAAAAGTTGCTTGAAATAAACAGAGTAAGAATAAAATATATTATTTCTACCAGGTAAGAAAAAAATCATACTTTGTCTCTATAATATTGCCTTTTTGAGAACTTAACATAATGAATCATACACTATGTAGACTTTTGCTTCTGACTTTCACTTAGCGTGATGTTTTTGTGATTCAACCATGTTCTCGTAAGTATCAGTAGTTCCTTCCTTTTTACTGCTGAGTAGTATTGCATGGGTATTATGAAATGTCGTTTTATCCATTCACCAGCTAATAGATATTTGTTTCCATTTTTTGACTTATAAATAATGCCTCCATGAACACTGATGTAAAAGTCTTAGTTTGGACATAGGTTTTTATTTCTCGTGCCTAGAAATGAAAGAGTGGAATTTGGGGGCTCTATAGTCAGTGTATGTGTGTTTAACTTTCTAGGAAAATGCCAAACTGTTTTCCAAAGTGGTGGTACCATTTTGTGTTCCCATTAGCAATGAATGTCTGTTCTACTTGATCCACATCCTCACCAACACTTGGTACTGGCTATCCTGTTGGTTTCAATGGTTTAGTTCATTCACTTTGATTTTCTAAATATAATCATATCATATACAGATAATGAAAGCTGTTTCTTTTTCTCACTGCTCTGTCCAGAGCCTCTAAACCACTAGCAAGTAGTATCAGTAATTATGGGCATCTATGACTTGATTTTTATTTTAACAGAAATGCTTCCAGTATTTTGTTAGGATCTCACTACACTTGCAGTAAGTCACATTGGGAAGTGTCTTATTTTTAGTTAATAAGATTTTATCACATAACAATACTGAGTTTCTATCAAGTATTGTTCAGCATCTACTTTGACCTTCTGATGCAGTTAACTAAACTAACACCTTTCTTAATGCTGAATCATCCATATGTTTCTGAAACACCCTGTTTAGATTTGTTTTGATTTACTACTTGGGTTTCTTTTTCTATACTACTGTATTTGATTTACTAAAATTTATATCAATATTTTAAGTGAATTTGGTCTAGAAGAGCAATTCCCAAACTTATTCCATGGAAGTACATGTTCCGGGGGGGGCAGTTGGGGGATCCCCAACAGAATTCTAATCCTCAATTTCTGTTTATGTAAAATAGGGGTAAATATAGATAAAGAGATATAGATGGCTTAAGGTACTAGTAGGAAGATTAAATGAGATAATGCCCATAGTTGCTTAATAAGTGAATGAGCTAGGATTTTAGTATCAATCATCCTTGAGGTGACTACACTCTGTTAGGTCTATTATTAAAAGAAAATTATGTATATAGAGGGGTGAAAAAACTTCCTGCAACAATTTAACCAGTAGTAGTCATTTAGTAGAGCTAGGGATTTATATTACTAATTTTTTAATCCTAAAATAATGGATCCCCCCCTTTATAATGAACCCTTTAAAAGGAATTATTCAAATGTGGACAAGAAATTAGCCTACCTGAGTGTGATTGATTGTTATATGGTTGCCATGAAGAGGTGACTGACGATCTTTCTCCTTACTGTGCCGACTACTCTGTTTACTACGTTGTAGTTGCTGCCTCAGTTTGGCAATCTGCTTTGGGGAGAGGGGAGGAGAAATAGGATGAGAACAAAAGTGAGCACCAGTTTTTAAGTACTTCTTATTTTAATTTTTGGATACTAATAAATCATTTTTTTCCTCACAGGTTTCAAGAAGAGATAGTATTTCACTGCAAAGATTTATTCTTCCAAGTTTCTAGGATTAAAACTATCGAAAATAAGAGGTACAGACTTCCAGTTATACAACAAATAAGTCACAGGGACGTAAAGTACAGCATAGGGAACACAGTCAGTAATATTGTAATAACTATGTTTGGTGACAGAAGGTAACTAGACTTGTGGGAGTAATCATTTCAAAATGTATATAAATGTTGAATCCCTATGTTGTCCAACTGAAACTAATACGTCACCTATACTTCAATAAAAAATGGGCTATAAATGCTGCACTTGTACAGTTAAAATAGTGTTTTGGTAAACATGCAGACTAAAGTTTTCCACATTATTTCAGATTTTACCTTTGTACACCATGAATATCTTCTTCTTTAAACACTTTTTATAAGGCAAAAAACTAGTATTTTGGATGCTAATTGATTAAAGTCAAAGCCAATACATTAATACAGAGACCACTTTAGTTTCTAAGTTCCCATCTTAGCCTATCAATCACTAAACACTTCAAAATTGTAAATAGTATTAGCAACTCACTAGCATCGAATATCTTACCATATGTTACTCTTTAGTCACTCAACTTTTATTTTACTTTCCAGTTTTATGGAGATAAATTTTGACATACAGTATTGTGGAAGTTTAAAAGTTATTGAACATGTTGATTTGATACCTGAATATACTGCAAAATGATGCGACCATAGCATTAGTTAATACCTCTCCCCCGTCCCATAATTACCATTTCTTTTTTTGTGGTGAGAACAGTTGAAATTTACTCTTTTAGTAGCTTTTAAATATACAATACAGTATTATTAAGTATAATCAAAATGCTATACATTATATCCATAAAACTTATTCATCTTTTAACTGGAAGTGTGTATCTTTTGACCAACCCCAATTCCCTCTACCCTCCTGCCCCTGGTAGCCACCACCATCACCACTGTACTGTTTCTATGAGTTCAACCTTTTTAGAACCCACATACAAGTGATATCATACAATATTTGTCTTTCTCTGCCTCATTTATTTCACTTAGCCTAATGCCTTCAAGTTTGAACCTTGTTGTTATAAATGGCAGGATATCCTTCTTCCTCATGGCTGAATAACATTACAATGGAGATATACACACACACATATACACTACATCTTCTTTATCCATTCATCTATTGGTGGACATTTGCTATAATCGTAACTTTTAAAAGCAAATATAACTTAGGGTGTATTCTCCTATATGGAATGGTAACACTCCCAGGTTTAAGAGAAAAGTCATTATTGCAATATGGCTTGGAATTCATTAAACTACTGGGTATTTACCAAGAAAAAAACAAACAAAAAACCCACCACACACACACACACACACACACACACACACACACACACACACACACCCCAACAACAATGCTAATTCAAAGGGATATATGCACCCCTATGTTTATAGTAGCAGTATTTACAATAGCAAAACTATGGAAGCAGCCCCAGGGTCTGTTGATAGATGAATGGATAAAGACAATGTGGTATATATACACACTGGAATATTATTCAGCCATAAAATAAAAATGAATGAAGTCTTGCCATTTGCAAAAAATGGATGGAGCTAGAGAGTATAATGCTGAAATAAGTCAGAGAAAGACAAATACCATACGATCTCACTCATATGTGGAATTTAAGAAACAAAACAAAGAAAAAAAGAGACAAAGACAAACCAAGAAATAGACTCTTAACTATCAAGAACAAACTGATGGTTACCAGAGAGGAGGTGGGCGGGGGATGGGGAAAGCAGGGGATGGGAATTAAAGAGTATAGTTATCATGATGAAAAAAATAATTAAAAAAAAAAAAGATTACATATGCAATCAAATGGTGCAGTTAAGGGTCTGCTGAATTGAAAACTGTGCCCATTTCTGGTTTGGAGAAATGGCCCCCACACAAAGTCCCTTGGAATCATCTGGGAAATTAAAAACAACAAAACAAAACAAAACAAAAACAACAACAAAAAAAACCCCAAATTCACAAAGTCCTGACCAACGCAGATCCCTGTACCTGTCCCAGACCGATTTTTGTGGTTCTATATAGTCTCTATGCATCAGCATTTGGGAGCCCTTGGTCCAGAGTGTTTGAGGTTATAAAAATGCAACCACCAGACCCGTCTCCAACTGCATATAGCCTAGGATGCCAATATTTAGCAAACAGAGGATTCTATCATGCCACCGCAGCACTGTAGGACATCTTCCTTAGAATTTATCATAGCAGAATAAATTTTCTCAAAATTAAATAAAAGCTCAAAACTGGTACGTAAGTATTGACAGAAGGTACACTTCTAACAGAAATAACTTATATTGAACACCAACCTGGTTGGAACTCAAAAAAAAAAAAAACCTACTATATTTTAGATGATGTATAATCTGCTTCAAATATGCCAGACCAGGAGTAAAATATTCCTGAGCATTTTATAAGGGACTAATTGGCAATTTGGGGGAAGTTACTTTTTTCTTTGTAGAAAAGATGACACTAATCAACTAAGAGTTATGCCTTGAACACCTATAGTGAGCCCAGTTTTATATTACCTACTTAGGCAAAGTGTAAACACAAAGTAAAGTCTGTAAAATACATTGATTTCCTCAAGGTCATAAAGCAAAAATACAATGTATTTTAATATTAGCTAAATACTTACCTTGGATAACCATGGCAATAAAAAGCAAAAGAGACAGTTGCTACTAAAGCCTATAAATGCTCAAGAGGAAAAGTATATAGGTTGCTAGAAAACTCATTTTTTATCTATGGCAAATAGAAGACAAACAGCATGGAAGGAAATAAAGCACCTAAACAACGGAATGGTTTATGTTCTTTTATATTAAGATCCTTAGATTCCTTCAGTTGTTGTTTTTTGGGGTTTGTTATTATTTATTTTTTTTAGATTCCTTCAGTTTCTTAAAGCTCTTTGTAGCTTATGGACCCCTCATACAATGTTGTTGCAAAGATATACAAGTAAGATGATCTATGTTAATATTTGTGTTCCCTGCTCTCTGTTGAAATGACATAATTTTCTTCTAGAGAACATTAATTTTCATGAGAAAAGGAATCAAAATTAGTAGGTAATCATTATAAATCAGGACAGATTATTCTCCATGATAGGATTTCAAATTGTACAAGTCATTTAATTAGGATAGAGATATAAAATTAAGTGTTTTCTGAATATTAATGATGTTTCAGTGCTGTTTCAAAACTGGCAAGAGCTTGTACAGAAGAGCCCATAATGCCTAGAGATTAATCAAGGCAATTCGTAATTTTTCATTTTAAAAATAATCTTCAAAAATAAACAAACAAAAATAATCTGAGAATGATCAATTCGAATCACTCTATTTTTAAAGGCCTTGAAACATCAAAGTAAGCCAGAGAAGTTTTTGTTCTTAACAGCCTTAACAAATCCCTGAAAACAAAAAGCATCCATCACGGTATACACCTTACTTGGCCTGGAATACCCAGTTCAACTATGCAACCTTATTGTTTTCACATAACATTGTTCATCTCTGAAATATTACATTGCTACGTTCTTGTTTTCAATTCAGTAGAGATTAGGGTAAATGGGAGCCCATCTTCCTAAACATATATACTCAGATTACAAATTTTAGTCAAGAATTTGTAAAATGAAAGCAGGACACCGTTAAGTCCTCCTTTGCTTTGGAACAAGGTGGTCCCTGTGCTGCTTACAACCACATTCAGAAGAGGGGCAGGCCTACATAACAACAGCAAACACTCTCATCTTCCACAGTTTTGCTTAGAATTTCCCTTCTCTTTTTCCTATGATGCTCAAGAGCCCACGGCCATCTGAAGCCAGCGGAGAGTTGACTTTAGAACCAGTGGAAAGTAGACACAAAGTTGTCTCTGGGAGGAAGGGGCAGAAGGGCAATACTCCTGCCCCACACACATACAACACAACCCGTCCCACCTCATCCACAGCTCTGAAGCTCTGCTCAAGACAGCCCCTGTAGGCCCACATTCTATCACATTGCACAGAAGCTCCTGGTCCTCACTTCAGGGGATCTACGCACCCCAGTCACTATGATGAAATGCCCACACAACCCTCATTTACAAAGGGAACATTAAGCTTTACTGACTTGATTTTTTAAACTAAACTATAGATATATCTAACTTTGTGTTTCTAAATACTCATTAGCTACTCTGTGGCCTTAGAAAAAAAATTAAGAATGGACCTTGAGGGTATTCTGCTAAGCAAAATAAATCAGCCAAAGAAAAAGACTGTTTGATCTCACTTATATGTAGAATCTTAAAAAAAAAATTCATGGAAACAAAGAGCAGATTGGTGGTCACCACAGATGGGATGGGGGACAGGAAATGGGCAATAGTGGTCAAAGGGTACAAATTTCTAGTTACAAGATGAGGAAGTTCTGGAATGTAATGTGCAGCATGGTGACTACAGTTAACAATACTGTACAGTAATCTGAAAGTTGCTAGGGGAATAGATCTTAAAAATTCTCACTACATACAAAAAAACTGTAATTATGTGAGGTGATAGATGTGTTAACTAAGCTTACGGTCAAATCAGTACACTGTACACCTTAAACCTACACAATGCTGTATGTCAATTATAGCTCAATGAAGCTCAAAGAAAAAAATATTAAGAGGGAAGGAGAGAGGAAACTCTTTAAACATGAAAGGGGTTTCAAGCACATGAGCTCCAAGGTTTAAAAAAGCCAGGGAATAAGTGACCCTGGGTCACAAAGAAGAAATAATAAGTGTAGAGAGAAGAATTAGCATAAATACAAAGAACTGACTAAAACATCTGTGAACTAGATGAAGAAAAATCAGAGACTGGCCCCACTTAAAATCTGAGAACTAGGAATACATTTTATTGTAAAT